TCGGCGCTGGCGGGTCGGGGTGTGGGGCCCCCTCTCCGCTGATGGCGATGGCTGGAGGCCCGCGGGAGGTGGGTGTGCGCCGCTTCCCCGGCCGGCTCGCAGGGGTTCACCGGGGCGAGGGATCGCGGCCACAGGGGCCCCTGGACGCGCGGTGCGGGGCGCGGGCCTTGTGGGAAGGAGGAGTGGCCGGGGCCGCAGGACATCCCCCCGACCTGCCATTACCTGGGTGCGAAGCCCCTTTCGGGACCACTGAGCATCGGAGTTCAAAAGAAGGTTACAGTGTTTATTTCTCGGGCAGAAATTGTGCTGCTCCGTGTATACATAGAAATATAATCTCCTGTATTATATCTCATATATCGTTGATTGTTAGGCTGGAAAACTTGCTTTAAAATGAAGGCCCCTTGCGTCGTCTGTTCTCGGGGGTCTTGCAAGCCCACTTGTTTAGTTCTGTCTCTGCTGGATAGAGATGGTCAGGTGTCTTTTCCAGGCTGAGGCCTAGGGTCTTAACGTTCTAATGTTCAGACAATCACTTTGTTATTGAACAAGTATCTATTTCCACCTCCCACCTCCTCCTGCAGCCCAAACCAAAAAAGTACTCATATTCTTCTAGTTGAGGTTTCACAAAGTTTCTGATAATGTGAGTAGTGTTGCTATTGGAGGCCTGGGTTAAATGTCACCAGGTGATATAGATATATATTTTTTTTTACAAAAAGTATATTAAAAGTATATTTTTTATATATGTAAAGTGTGATATATAATCTGCTTTGTTTTTACACTAAGACCAAGTAAGCTCTGTTGGAGGCATGTAGAAAAGTTTCTCCTTCTAGGGCCCCTGACTATGTTTGGAGGGTTCTAGAATTTTCTATTGGCTGCCTATGAAAGCCTCCTTCAGCTCTAATTACTACCCTCATTTTCAGATGACCTGGAGCAGGTCAAGTGACCAGCATGGTGGTGTAGCCCCACGTGTACTTAGTTAATGACAAGGCATAGGAGAACCCAAGCTTTTCTGCTCATAGGTTCTGTAGGTCCAAGGTAGGTTCTTGAAGGCCAGTCATCAGAAATAGTGTGGGGAGTTGAAAATACTCCTGCCTGTGCCCCATGCTGCCTCTGGAGAACTCAAATCTCAGGGTGGGGCCTGGGAATCCATCCTAACAAAGCTCCTGAAAGATTCTGGTCAGCCAGGTTTGTGAACTGTGTTGTCACCTTTGGTATTCCAAAAGATTCCCATTAATTTACGACATCTGAGAGTGCTTTTGATTGTTTGTAGATCCTTCAGAATTTGAGAAGTGGGAAGAAGGTAAAGCCTGAGAAACTTAAAACTGGAAATTGAACTTCTTTTAAGATTTAATGGATGTAGGTAGGAGAATAGATTTGTTGCCAAAAGTTGCTTGTGTAATAAGTTGTTAGGACCATACTTGATAAAATTTGGTTTTGCTTAACTTGGAAGTATATTCAGAGAAACTCGCTTCTTGACCTTTTGGCTAAGATCAAGTGCAGAGATACAGCACAGAATCTACGAGAAAGTCACATTTGAGAGAATAGCACTAAGAATTCTACTTTTGATTATCGAAGGGTTCCATCAACCAAATCCTCACATCCATGTTGCTTACCACTGTCTGCCTCAAATTTCTAGTAAAGTGCAAGGTAGGGTGGGTGAATTCACAATCACTTGAATCCAGGATTGTGAACCAGGAAGATTTAATGTGGATTGTGAAAAGCTCTTGAAATTTGCCCTGGGCCTTGAGGAGTGGCAAAGTCAGTTTTTAAATCTGTTGTAGTTCTGGTTAACACTTTCTGTGGTAAAATGGAATGCTGAGTTACCAAGGGTGTATTCTTGTTTCAGAGGGGTGTGGTGAGGGTTGTTGTACATTTGGAAGAAAATGTTATAGTTGTGCAGCATATGAAGGAGTTCGGTAAATAGCCTGTAAAATCATGGAGTAATATTTTTAGAGAACTGTACCCAGCTGTCCACCACAGGAGACAGAAGCCAAGTCTATTTAGCATTCCCAGTACCTTCCAAAGTATATAGTAGGCCCTCAGGTATTTGTTAACTAAATGTATAATATTGAGATGGGGGAAAAGAATAGTTGATGGTAGCATTAGTTATTAAAAGCTACTTTGTATTTTACATTGACTGAGATGATCAATTTTCAGTCCCTGTGATTTGGAACATTGAGATTCTGTAGAGAGTTTTTTATTACACTCTAACCTTTCTCCTGTAGGCTTTTTTTTTCTCCTGTAGTTTTTGTGTGTTAAATGTGTCAAATGGTAGCAACATTTTTTAAAGATAACATTAAATGTAGAATCAGCATACAAGAGAAACTCTGCAGTGTTAAGTAGCCTTAGATTCTGATTCCCTCTGTGACATTTTATTTTTGCTGCTGTTTGAATGTCAACCTCTCTGGCCCTTTGTTTCCTGATCTGTACCATTAGGGGCTTTTGCTCAGGGGTTTGTGCTCTTTGACCTCAAGTTTCTCCAAACTGATTTGGAAGATACTTAGTAATTTGTAGTTGGGTTATTTGGTACTTATCACATAGATAGAACATTCCCCTCCCCCCCATGGAAACATGCAATATTCTCTCTGCCTTTAGTTCTGCATTTACTTACGAATTTCAGACATTGTCCACAAGTGTTCTGGAAGTAAGATCATGTTGCAAGTACGATGCAGAAGCAACCTGTTTATGCTGTTGTAAGTCACTTTATGTTGAAATAGAATTGAGGGAACTTCAAAATTGGGTGTGAAGCCACAACACTAAGATTGAGTTGAGGGTTGGTTGTGCAGTGGATGTGGCTAGTCGATTCTTAACTTAGGTTGTTGTGTACCATTGAGTCAGAGTTGATCCATAGCTGACTCTTAAGTTTTCAGAGGCATGGGACGAGATTGTCCATCTTTTTTCTGTGGAACAGCATCAGCTAAAGGAGTTCAGATCCATCAGAACTCGCACCATGTCCCTTTGGACTCCTTATCACTAAGCTACCAGAGCTCCCTAATCAATTATCCCCATCCCCCCCCCCCCAGAGTTGTTGTTGTTGTTGTTTAAATTATCTAGTCAGTTCTTTTAGACCATACAGCTCTGTAATTTTATTTGGTGAATTTATATGTAATTTTATAATCCGTGAACCTTTAAGACAAAACTATTCAATCACCCATGATTGAATGTGATTTCTCAGTAATTTAAGGTGCTACCAAAATTGATAAGATTCATTGCTATTTTAATTTTTGTGATACTAATACTTACTGATTCAGGTGCATCTGTATCAGGCCGTGGTCTTTCTGATCACTGGCTATGCTGGGCTGCGAATGAGGCTGACAGAAGAAGAATTGATGCCTTTGAGCTGTGATGTTGGAGAATAGTGTTGAACGTCATATGGATTGCCAAAAAGAACAAATAAATAGGTCTTCGAAAGCGTGCAGCCAGTTTGCTTTTTGGAGGCAAAGATGATAAGACTGCCTCACATACTTTGGGCATGTTGCTAGGAGGAGCTGGGTTGGTGAAGTAGAGATAGACCTTCAACCAAGTGGATTGACACGATGACTGCAACAGTGGGTTCTAATGTATCAGGAGATGTGATGATGGCATCAGATAGGATAGGGTTCAGATCTGTTGTTCATAGGGTTATTATGGGTCCTACTCAACTCAGTGGCAACAGTACTGATGCCTTTCATCATTACTTTTTTTTTAAAATTGTGTTTTAGGTAAAATTTCACACAGCAAATTAGGTTATCATGTAGTAGTGTTAAATACAACTTGTTCCTTGCTGCTGGTTACTGTTTTCCTAATGTGTCAGCATTCTCATTATTTCCATTCAGTTTGTATCCATCTAGCTTCCCTTTCCTTCTCATCTCTGCTTTTGAGTTAAGTGTAGACTACTTAGTCTAATGTAATTGATTGCTTAAGGGAGCACATTATGCATAGATGATACTGTTTATATTTTAGGCCAGTTTATTATTTGTCTGAAGGGTAACCTCCAGAAAATCTTCATTTCCAAGTTCAAAGAGGATTGGGATTCTTCTTGTCGCCTTGGTCAGTAAGGCATGCCTTTTTTCCCCTTCTCTAAGTTTTGAAACTTTGTTGTATATTTTTCTCCCATTCTATCCAGGACCTTCTATAATGTTGCTGGTTAGGATGTTTGTAGTGGTAGCTGGGTACTATCTAATCTGGTTCTTCTGGTCTTAGGGTAGAGAAGGCTGTGATTTGTGAGGCTTATTGGTTCTATAGTTTCTTATTTGAGCCATTTGAGATAGATAGCCACCTGAGAGCTTTTGAGAATGCAGATGGTACTTACCAAACTAGGAGGTAGAACATTGTCTTTGGAACTCTTGTTATGCCAGTTTACCAAGTTGTTGCTTGAGACTGTGGCCCTAAACCTTTTAACCGGCTAACCAATCCCGTGAAATGTTCAGATATGTCTAGGAAGCCTCCATAATTATGCCTCCTGTGTACTTTGTAAAGGCGTCTTAGTGGCACAGTGGTTAAAGAGCTCAACTACTAATTCAAAGGTTAGTGATTTGAACTCCCCAGGTGCTCACTTTAGAGAAACATGTGGCAGTCTACTTCTGTAAAAGATGTATAGTGGTGAAAATACTAAGGGGACAGTTCTGTTCTGTAAGATCCCTGTGAGTAAAAATAGATTTGTGGCAATAGGTTTGGATATGTTTTGTTATATATTTGGATATACATGCAGCACACAAATATAAATATATAAATTAAATATATATACTGCCTTCACACACACTTGTAAATGTATTTACTTTCATGTGTTTTCCTATATATT